ACACACACTCCACTTTCATACTTAGCAATGATCTCTTTCTTCATGTCCACAGTAATTCTCACCCTTTTTGCTGTAGGGTTGGCACTAGAAGCTTTCTTGGGGCCCACGTTGACTTATTTTGCAGGTGCAATCACTAAAAAGGCTGTGATAATATGAAATGTACCGATTGTATGCTTGGAAGCGACTGCGGTGGCTGGCTTGTAAACACTGGCACCCACGGAACAAGTGAGGCGGGCTCAGGCCGCACGTGGACGCGTCTCGAACGAATCGCGTTGAGCGAGTTTTTTAGCACTAGCCGAGACAAAATTTTTGCATTAAAATGTATCGCTAGGCGGATTTAACGTTATGCGATGCGTTCATTAGGCGAGGGTCCACTGTATATGTATTTTACTTTTTTATTGTTTTTTTAATGTCTAGTTTTATTGGTAACTTAATATATGTCAGTGTAAACTTGTTATCTAGTACAGTGGTACCTTGGGATACAAACTTAATTCGTTCCGGAAGGCTGTTTGAGTGCTGATACCGAACAAATTTCTTCCCATAAGGAATAATGTAAATTAGATTAATCCGTTTCAGACCCCCAAATATACACCTACAAAAGCACTAACATAAATACACTTACACAATTGTTTGAGTTTTGAGCTGTTCATATCCTGAGGTACCACTGTACTTATTTACATTTATAAGTGGAAAAAAGGGCGTTCCAATTTACGGCAATTTCCACTTTACAGCAGTAGCATGGAACCTAACTTGCCATATAAGTGGGGCCCTACTGTACTTGATTTGTCTCTCCTTTTCACTGTGCTGGTGTTTTATACAGTTTTCCCTCCAGGTGAGGTATACTGAAGCTAATACTTTGAGTACACTAAAAACAGTCTGGACAAATATATGGCTGAGAAATACTGGATTTGAAGAGAACCTGCCAAGCATAGACCTGCAGGCCTACTGGCCCATGCCAGGCAGTTTCTTCTCAATTACAACACTTCTCAGCCATATATTTGCTTAACCTGTTTTAGTCTACCCAAGATATGCCTCAACATACTTCACCTGACTCTCCATGTCACTATGCTTTCTATATATAGGGTCATCCTCTTTCAAAAGTTAGATCTGTTTACAACATGATAAAGTCTACCGTGTGGTTAAGACATTGTCAATGGAAGATTACATTATACTTGCATTTGTGTCACTTTTTCCATGAATGGAACACATTTTAATTTGAAGAGAGATTTAATTATAGTACATAACAAGGAAGGTTCTTCTTGAGTATTTAATACACATGTAATACACAGGTATTTGAAACTAGTAATATATGCATGATAAGTGCTAATCTTGTTATAATCTCCTTTTGACAACAGGAAAGAGAGAGACATGCTTAAAGTGCCAGAGATGTGGAAGATGGCTAATGTGGTTCCTTTATTCAAATCAGGGGATAAGTCCATTCCTTCAAATTACTGTCCAATCAGCCTGACATCTATAGTATGCAAATTATTAGAATCAATTATAGATGACATTATTAGAAGTACTAGGTAGTAGGTTGGTAGACAGCAACCACCCAGGGAGGTACTACCGTCCTGCCAAGTGAATGTAAAACGGAAGCCTGTAATTGTTTTACATTATGGTAGGATTGCTGGTGTCTTTTTATTCTGTCTCATACACATGCAAGATTTCAGGTAGTCTTGCTACTTCTACTTATACTCAGGTCACACTACACATACATGTACAGACATATATATATACACACCCCTCTGGGTTTTCTTCTATTTTCTTTCTAGTTCTTGTTCTTGTTAATTTCCTCTTACCTCCATGGGGAAGTGGAACAGAATTCTTCCTCCATAAGCCAAGCGTGTTGTAAGAGGCGACTAAAATGCCGGGAGCAAGGGGTTAGTAACCTCTTCTCCTGTATATATTGCTAAATGTAAAAGGAGAAACTTTTGTTTTTCCTTTTGGGCCACCCCACCTCGGTGGGATAAGGCCGGTGTGTTGAAAGAAAGAAAGATTATTAGAAGTCACCTTGAAGAGCATAATTTGATTAATGAATCTCAGTATGGGTTCATGAAACAGTGATAAAGAATATGATATTGTTTATTTGGATTTTAGTAAAGCCTTTGATAGAGTACCTCACAAGAGACTCTTAAGAAAAGTGGAGCTCATGGTATAGGAGGTAAAGTTCTAGCATGGATAGAGGCATGGCTTACCAACAGAAAGCAGAGAGTTTCCATTAATAGGGTCAAATCTGAATGGGGATTAGTCATTAGTGGCATTCCACAAGGATCAGTTTTAGGCCCTCTGCTGTTCATAATTTACATTAATAACCTTGATGAAGGGATTACGAGTGACATGAGCAAATTTGCTGATACAAAGATAGGCCGTATGATTCATTCTGAGGAAGATACCAATGAACTCCAGGAGGATTTGGACAAATTAATGTCTTGGTCTGAAAAATGGCAGATGAAGTTCAATGTGGATAAGTGTAAGGTACTAGTCCTTGGTAATGAAAATAACCCTCGAAGCTATAAACTAGGTGAAGTAGAGCTTGATCATACAGAATGTGAAAAAGACTTGGAAGTCATGGTAAGCAGAAATCTAAAGCCAAGACAACAGTGCCTAAGTGTGCACAACAAGGCTAACAGATTACTAGGATTTATCTCAAGAAGTATAAATAACAGAAGTCCAAAAGTTATATTACAGCTCTATACATCACTAGTGAGGCCTCATTTAGATTATGCTGCTCAGTTTTGGTCTCCTTACTACAGGATGGATATAGACTCATTGGAGAACATACAGAGAAGAATGACTAAAATGATTTACTGTGTAAGGAATCTCCTGTATGAAGATAGACTTAAAGCCTTAAATCTCCACTCTCTGGAGAGACGTAGAATGAGGGGAGATATCACTGATGTGTATAAGTGGATGATGGGCATAAACAAAGGAAATAGTATTTAAAGTAAAAGGACACACGTGCAGCTAATGTGACATTTTTATTGTGGCAACATTTTGCTCTTCAGGAGCTTTGTCAAGCCATTACAAACAATATATGGACACAGAGGGTATATATAGGATTAGAGTGAGGTGTAATAATAATAATGCTGCTCCTGCCGGAGGCAGTGGCGGCGGCAGCAGCAGCAGTAATTTGCAATTAATTAACTGTACTATTACTACTACTTATATTACTACTACTACTACTACCACCACCACTAGTTATACACCTCACTCTAAGCCGATATATATCCTCTGTGTCCATATATTGTTTGTAACGGCTTCACAAAGCTCCTGGAGAACGAAACGTTGCCACAATAAAAATGTCACATTAGTTGCACTTGTGTCCTTTTACTTTACATAGTCGGTAATTCTACCAACATTATTACAAAGGAGATATTAATAAAGTACTGAGGATGTCGAACCAGTAAGAACCAGAAATAATGGATTTAAGTTGGACAAATTTAGATTCAGAAAGGACATAGGTAAGTACTGGCTTTCGAACAGAGTTGTGGATGCATGGAACAATCTTCCCAGTAGGGTGATCGAGGTTAGGACCTTGGGTAGCTTTAAAAAGAGATTGGACAAATTTGTATATGAGTGGGAGGTGCTGGGTTTGATTGGTGTTATTGGGTACGGGAGTAAATTCTTGGGTAGCTTAGGGTAGGGGTCGTTTTGATAGGGACCTGCCTTGTATGGGCCAGTAGGCCTTCTGCAATGTTCCTCCATTCTTATGTTCTTAAGTGTCATGTCTTTTTTTCTTCAACACAAGCCATCTCTCACCAAGGAAGGGTGACCCAAAAAGAAGGAAACATATTCACATTCATTCATTCAATTACTCTCTTTCCAGAATTGCTCCAACATCACAGCTCATACGACTTATTCCCTTAATTATGACATTTTCATTACTCTTTTAAAGTGCAGATACTAGTATACTTTCCATCTCCAGGACTCAAGTCCAGCTAAGCAGTTTCCCTGAATCCTTTCATCAAGCCTTAAAAACAACTAGGTACCCTCCCCTCCTGTTCAATAAATACTGAACAAGCAACTACTTTACAACTATAGCTCTGCCTGCTTTTCACATTTCCGTCTTAATCCCGTCTACTCAGCTGCTTTACCCTCTTTTTAAGCTACCCGCTGCCTCATGCATTTACCTCCACATTTGCATCTAGCTCTTCCTCACTCCTACAAGGTGTTATACCTCCTTGCTCAATGCATGAAATCACTGTCTCCCTTTCATCATCAACATTTAACAACAACTTTTCTTAGTCTTCACACCAAATTTGTTGATAAAATCTTACATACTCTCTCATTGCCTCTCCTTTTGCATTCCCCACCACTATTTTAATCTCTCTTTTATTCTCCATATATTTCACCCTCTGTATATCACTTCAACACTGTAAAAGCCTCTCATATACTAACTTTTTCCTCCTTAACCACCCTCTTTACCTGATTATTCCACCAATCATTCCTTTTTCCACCCACACCCACCATCCTATACCCACAAACTTTTGCTGCACTCAAACACTGCATACTTAAATTCACTCCATGTAGATGGATGGTTCAGAGAACCGACATGTTGATAAATTAGACACATGTGCAACTCTTGGGTATCTTTATTGAGGAAACGTTTCGCCACACAGTGGCTTCATCAGTCCATACGTAGCAGAAACTTGAAGAACAGGAGGAGAATGAGGTAATCAGTCCCTCAACCTTGAGTCGATGTGTTTAGTCCATCATCAATTCTACTCAAGATTGATGGACTGAACACATCGACTCAAGGTTGAGGGACTGATTACCTCATTCTTCTCCTGTTCTTCAAGTTTCTCCTACGTATGGACTGATGAAGCCACTGTGTGGCGAAACGTTTCCTCAATAAAGATACCCAAGAGTTGCACATGTGTCTAATTTATCAAATCCACTCCATACTTTGAAGGATATTCTACTGTAAATTATATAATGAAAGAGTACCAGTACCTGAACAATGGTTTGAAGCATATAATTAGCGACTCCACAATACTTACCTGTTGGAGATTTGCAAGGTGATGGGGGCACAGAAGACTCTGACTGTGTGGAGGAACTCTCAAGAGATTCTGGAGATTTGTGTCCAGATGAGTGTAATGGGCTGATAGATCCCAAGTCCTATAAATAAAAATTCAAGTTATTATATATTTGCATTCCTGTTTGTTTAACCCTTTGACTGTCGCAACCCCCAATCCTGAGGTGTCTCCTGGTGTCGCAAAATTTAAAAAAAAAAAAATTATTTTTCTTATGAAATGATAGAGAATCTTTTCCCGATGGAAAACTGACGGAATTATGCTCTCGCGAAGTTAGCGACCTCAGCACTGTTTACAAATCGGCTATTTCGTCCACTTTGAGCCCTATTTTCGGCTAATTCCATTGTTCCAGTCGCCCAAACTCATAGCTATTTCTTTAGAACTCCATTTTTTTCTATCGATTGAGTACAAGAAACTGCCCATTTACCTATTTCAACTACCTAATAATGTGGTCAGAAATTTGCAATTTGGCCAATTTCACGAAAACTAAAAAATATGACAATTTCAAAATAAGATCCAGAATGAACAATGCAGACATTCCTGGCTCTAAAATAACATTTTCTTTGCTCATCAGTCATGTCTCCAGGCCCCTCTGATATTACTCTTGCTTTCTATTTTGAATTTTAATTCAAACAAAAAATAGAAGACTTACTATTATGCAGACTACTGCAATACTGTAATAATTGTATAAATAACATCAACCCATTCATGACTGCATATTAGAATGGCTAGTTGGACATTTATTGGACAATGGCATCATTTGTTTACTTTTGAACATTGGCAAAAATCAAACATTTCCCCTACTTTGAGCTCCATTTCTAGGTTCTTTTTATAGTAAAATCAATCAAAATCACCTCTATTTCTGTAATATGTTTTCCATTCTATCAAATGAGACCAAGAAAACGAGAATACAACCATAAATACTATACGAAAATAGACCACAAAGTCAGCATTTTAATTAAAAAAAAAACGGTCGGAGTTTTTTTTTTCTCATTATACATTGCGTGCTCCAGGATTTTTTTTATATGGTGCACACTGACCACACAGACCCATTCTCTCACATGTGGGCCTACCAGCTTTCTCCTGCTTGATTTGAAGCCGCTAGAATTTATGAGTATATATACGTTAAACACGGTACCTCGTAAGACGTATATATACGGCCGCGACAGTCAAAGGGTTAAGTAACCTACAGTATATATAAAGTATAAAATTCCCATTTTAAATGGCATTAAAGTACAAAAAAATTAAAGGACTACAGACAGCAATAAGGTGGTGATTACACCACTTCCCTCCAACCTATGCATTTCAGACTGGGGGCTTTAAAATTAATTACTACTACTACTACTACTACTACTACTACTACTACTACTACTACTACTACTACTACTACTACTAATAATAATAATAATGATGATTTATTTAATTTATTATTAATTTGGACATGATACATAGAAGTACAAAGAAATACAGTGGTTAAGTGTAACATGCCAAAAGTCCCTTGTATGCAAAGCATTATGGGCATGCTTAAAATTAACTTAAGATTAACTAAGCAATGATATATTCAGTGGTAAAAATTATAGTAAACAAATAACAATTAAGCACAAATGAGTATTTCAAAGACAGGTCATATGGTCATTTACTGAGTTGCTGTGCATTCAGTAGAATGCAGTATTCTGTAAGGTAATGTAATTAAAAAAAACAAAGTTTGATTGGGTCACAGGTTAAAGATTTATGAGATACAATTATTCAGTATTTATTTAGTTGTGGGTGAGTAAGTGATTTTTAAGAAGAGACTTGAATTTATAAACAGTGTTTCTTTTATATTCACAGGTAATGAATTCCAGATTTTTGGGCCTTTTATGTGCATTGAGTTTTTGCTTAGTGTGAGATGGACGCGAGGAACATCAAAGAGTCATCTGTGCCTTGTGTTATGGTCATGTGTTCTGCTGAGATTGGTAAGGAGACGTTTGAGGGGAGGGTTTATATCTGAGATAAGTGTTCTATGTATGTAGAAGGTACAATAATAAGTATGGATGTTTTGTACGGAAAGTAGGTTTAGAGTTTTGAATATTGGTGGAGTGTGCTGCCTGTAGTGGGAATTTGTTATCGTTCTGACTGCAGCCTTTGTTGGGTAATTAATGGTCTGAGATGGTTTATTGTTGTTGAGCCCCATGCACAAATTCCATAGGTGAGATAGGGGTAAATAAGCGAGTGATATAGGGCCAGGAGAGCTGACTATGGAACATAGTACCGTATCTTCAATAGTATGCCTACAGTCTTGGAAATTTTCTTGGAAATTTGTTGTACATGTGTTTGAAGTTTGAATCTATTATCAAGGTGGATTCCTAAGAATTTTCCCTCTGTGAGCTTTGTGATAGGAGATCCGTTTATCATTATGTTAAGAGGGACATCTGTAGCTCTGTTTCCAAACTGAATGAAGTAGGTTTTGTCAATGTTAAGAGTAAGTATGTTAGTCGTCATCCAGGTAGATATTTTCTGTAATTCGGTATTTACAGTATTGGCTAGCATGACTAGGCTTGGGTGAGAGAAGACGTATGTAGTGTCACCTGCAAATAGTGTGCGTTTGAGTAGTTGCGATGCATTTGATAGGTCATTTATGTAAACGAGAAAGAGAAGAGGGCCAATGACACTTCCCTGTGGGACACCAACTGTAATTGGCTGTGCGGAAGAGTTTAGTCCATTTGTGTACACATATTGGTTTCTGTTGCTGAGGTATGACTTTAGGTAGTTGAGGGAGTGCCCTCTTATACCATAGTGCGTCAATTTTATGTGGAGCAAATCATAGTCAACTGTATCAAAAGCTTTACGTAAATCAACGAAGAGCCCCAGTGGGACTTCTTTTCTCACTAGTGCAGTGTATATTTGTTCTAGCATGTGTACAATAGCAACATTCATATTTTTATTAGGCCTGAATCTAAACTGATAGGGGTTGAGTATGTTGTGGGAGATGAGGTAGGAATAGATTTGCTTATGAATTAATTTTTCAAAGATTTTAGAGAGAGGGTGTAAGCTGGATATTGGCCTATAGTTATTCAAGTCTGTTTAGTCTCCTCCTTTATGAATTGGGGTGACCCTCGCTATTTTGAGAACTGTAGGGAAGGTAGAGGATTCAATGGATTTGTTAAATAGTGTTGCAATGATTGGTGACAGCACTTGTGATGCTTTTTTGTATATAAAGGGTGGTAAGGTATTTAAATCTCCTGTCTTGTTTTTTAGTGTGTTGATAATAAGGGAGACTTCTGTTGGGTTAGTCGGAGCTAGGAACAGTGTGTTCGGGTAGTTGCCAGTGAGGTAGACATTGGGTCGGGTATTTGAGCTTGGGATTTTATTGGCAAGGTTTTTTCCTATGGTGGAGAAGAAATCATTGAGTCTGTTTGCTGTTTCAGTTGGTGGGAGTTGGGGTTCATCTGGTTTTGTTAGTTCAATTGCGCTATTTCGTGATATCTTTTTTGTTCCTAGAATTTCTGATAGGGCTTTCCAGGTCTTTTTTATATCACCTTTTAAGTTGGATAATGTTCTCATTATACAATTTTTTAGCCCTTCTTTTTCAGGCTGGTTAGGACTGACGAGTAACGTTTTGCTTAGTCTCTGGTTATGTGACCCATTCTGTACTGTTTTTTGTATAGGTGCTTTGTATTTATGGATTTGAGGATGCTGGGTGTTAGCCAGGGATTGTTCAGTCTCTTAGCTGTCATCTGTTTAGTTTTTTTAGGGCAGTGCAACTATTAGACAAGTACCCTAGCCCCCTTTCCAAACAGAGTGCCACCCCTAAGTCTCACCTATACAGAGTCTAGAGCCACCATTGATCACTGTTGTTGAAGAAAAGTTTTTAGTATCCTTTCAGCACCTCTCCTTTCTTAGTTTATAGCTATGGTCTCTTATTCTCCCTAATGATGGGGGGTTATGAAATCCTCCTTATCATTTGTTTACTGTGTTGTAGGTGAAGTGGATTACAATTCTCTGAAAAAAGTAAACTGTGATAGCGAAATTTTTCGGAATCAATACGCCATATTTTCCGGCATATAAGACACACAACAGAAATATCATAATAGTAAATCAGTAATCATTTTCAAGGACTAATGAGCCTCTTACTTAATGCTAAAGTGTAACCCAAAGCCTACTCTTGACCCTGACCTTGAACAGGAAAAAAAGGCACATCCTATATCATACAATTGCTCAAACTTCATATTACAAGTCAGATCTTACTCCTAAATTAATATTATATCATAGTGACTATCTGTCCATTTAACTTGGTTTACCACTACTTATTTTAGTCCCTTTTATATTTTCTCCTTTATTTTAGCTTTTAAATAACTACCTTAGTTCATATACTATTCACATTTGTTAAAATAATTAAGGTGCTATTTTCAGGTGCTAAAGTGTAATACTTTCATTATTTTACTATTATATTCCCTAGTTCCTTTATTTGATTACCACTTTATTTGTTTACCACTACTTATTTTAGTCCCTTTTATATTTTCTCCTTTATTTTAGCTTTAAAGAACTCTCTTAGTTCATATATTCACATTTATTAAAATAATTAAGGTGCTATTTTTTAGCCTAAGAATATTTACATTGTCTTATACTTAAGTCTGATTATAGATTCATTATAAATCTTATGATTACAAGCATTGGTCCTGATACCAACCTCTTACTGAATGACTTAAATGAATCAAACAGGAACTGTAATTACTACACAGCAGAACAAACAAAGGCACTTCTCAGAATCAACAACAACATAACTGTCTTTAACTACAATGTCAGATCTTTAAGCAAACATTACAATGAAATCACAGCATTACTAAATTCCCTGCATGCCAGTACAGTGGACCCTTGGCTAATGAACGCATCACATAACGTTAAATCCGCCCAACGAAGCATTTGAGTGTAAAAATTTTGGCCTGGCTAACAATAAAAAACTTACCCAATGTGATTTGTCCTGAACCTGTCCATCCAGCTTGAGTGCCTCAGCTGCCCTGCCGTCATTGTTTACAAACCAGGGTGGCCGGTTTCATGCATACATTCGATACATTTTGTATTATTCCATTGTTTATGGTGCTTGTA